TATTCCAATAAGTCTATTACTTGCCTTACATTGTCCTTCATATATCTGCCCTCAATAAATCCCGCTTGGTCCGCATGAATCACCTTTTGGATTACTGGCATCAACCTGTTGGCTAATACCTTCGCATAAATTTTATAGTCTGTGTTCAAAAGAGATATTGGTCTATAGTTCTCTGGTTTTTTAGGACCAACTTGTTCTTTTGGTATCAAAGATATATAAGCAGTTGTCCAAGATGGGGGTATTTTGCCCCCTTGTTGAATATTGCAAAATAAATCTCTAAGTTGTCCCACCATTTCAGCTTGTAAAGTTTTGTAATACACTGCGGTCAAACCATCCGTGCCAGGAGCTTTGGCTGTTTTTAGCTGTTTAATTGCTGCTGTTATCTCCTCCTCTGTTATAGGATAATTCATTCTTTCCTTTTGTTGATCAGTAATTTTTGTAACTCTCTTATCCTTTAAATATTTTTCTATAAGTCCATTCTGCACCTCTTCTTTGGCATATAGTTTAGTATAATAATCCACAAAAGCTTCTTTAATTAGTTTTTGTTGAAAGATTTCTTTCCCTCCAATATCAATACTATCAATAGTCCGTATACTTTGTTTTTTCCTCAATGTGTAAGCCAACCATCTGCCCGGTTTGTTAGCGTTGCAAAATGTATTATGCTTCGCATATTGTAAACTTGTTGCAACTTGTTCCGCCATAAGCATTTGAAATTGGTCTTTCAAAAGTGTTATAGCACTTCGTATTCTTTCATCTGTTGGGTTTTTAATAAGTAACTGTTCTTTATTCTTTATTTCCATTTCCAACTCAAATCTTTTCTTTTGTCGGAACAGTCTATGTTTAGAATTCATGTAGATGAGTACCCCTCTCATATAAGCTTTACTTGCATCCCAAACAATTTCAATTGGGGTACTTTTATTCAAATTTATTTCAAAAAATTCTTTCAAGTGCTTTTTAAGTTCTATTGTATTTTTTTCATATCTAAACAAGTTCTCATTTAATCTCCAAGAACGTCTCTCAACCTTATCCATCTCAATTTCTATCCATACAGGGCTATGGTCAGTCAGAGTTCTTGGAAAAATCTTTGTTCTTTTTGTCTTAACAAGTAGGTCATTTGACAACAGGATAAAATCAATCCTAGAAAAAGATCTATGTCTATCCGAAAAAAAAGTGTAGTCCAATTCATTTGGATTATGTATTCTCCAAACATCTTTTAATTCCATATCTTCTTTCATATCAAAAAAAGTCTGTGGTAGTCTAATTCTAGACTTTGCCAAGCTCTTTTTATCTAGTTTAGAATCAATTACTCCATTCCAGTCTCCCATAATTAAAATAGATCTATAGTCCCATTGCAATATTTTAGTATGTAACATCTTATAAAAATAATCCTGTTGTTGGTTGGGAGCATAAATTCCAATCAAAAGAATTTGACCATTTGCTGTGAGCAATTCAATTGCTACAAACCTACCATCTTGATCTGCTTCTATAACTTTCGCTGTTAATTTTTTATTTACATAAATAACCACACCATTCTTTTTCTGCGAAGTTGAAGATATATAATGTGCTCCTAGTTTTGAATTTATCAAATATTTTTGATCTTGAGTTGTGATATGCGTTTCTTGTAAACATATTATATCATTATTAAATTGTTTCAAATATGTAAATAATTTCTTCCTTTTCTGTGCTGAATTCAACCCATTAACATTCCAAGATAGACACTTAAAGATCATCAGCCTCTTTCTGGAGCACAGAGCAAAATATTTGAAGTTCATCCGAGAGCTTCGATCTCGCTCCTCCCATAGCTCCACTCTCTTGTACGGTACTCTTAACTGCCTTCTTGTCTTGTCTTTCCTGTTGTTGTTGTTGCTTTTGTTTAAGTAGCTTGGATTGGGCTCTAGTTATACGTTGATCTTTAACTTCTGTCAACTGAATCAAATCCAAAATTGGAGAAGAATCCAACAAGGGCTCACTCAGAAAACCTCCTTCTGCACCTTGCACATTTTCTAATTCCTGCTTAGACTGTTCTTTCAATTGCCTCTCTTCACTCTCCTTAATCTCCAAAACTGTAGATGTACGTGGAGATGGTGTTCTTTCCTTAAGAATAGTACTGTAAAAGTGTTGTGCCTTCTCCACGGTATTCAACCGATATCCTTCTCCCTTATATCTAAAAATTATCCCAGCTGGTGCGTCCCACCGGAAGGGTATCTGTAAATTTCTCAATTCCTTAACAAGAAAACCAAATTCTTTTCTAGCTTTCAGCATTTTAGGAGGTAATTCTTTAAAAATTTCAAGTCGTGAGCCCCCCACTTGTACAGAAGTGTGAAAAGATTTTTGCAGGATATCATTTCTAATTTCTCTCTCAGTAAAGTATATGACCACATCTCTAGGCAATTGTCTTTGTCTGGCCACCCAAGAGTTCACTCTGTAAATTTTATCTATTTTATGAAATACCAAATCAGGATTAGCTTGTAAAATCTTAGCCAAGGCTTCAGAGCAAACCTGTCTCAAATCCTGTCTCTCCTCCTCTCGAATTCCCCGAAGCCGTATGGCAAATTCCATCGCCCGGAATTGTATCATAACAATCTCATCTTCAATTCTCTGCATTTTATTGTCAACTTCATCAATTTTATAATCATTGTCTTTCATCTTAACATTAACTTCTGATTTGAATTCTTCAACTTTAAAATCAACTTTCCCAATAAATTCTGCCAGGCCAGACGCCACTTCTGATATTTTTTTGGTCACCTTATTTTGATTCTGTTTCACCATGTCTTTAACTTCATTAATTTCCTGCATAAATTCCTGGTGTGATTTTTGAAGTTTATCATCTATCTCCTGTTGACATTTTTGAAATTTGTCATCCAGAGTTTTAGAAATAAATTCTTTTAAATCTCCCACATCAAATTCTTTTTTCTGAGTTTGTAGCTGTTGAGCAGGGGGAAGTTGCGTTTGCTGTTTGTGTGTGGGGGATCCCCCCCCTAATGCCTTCCCTTCCTGCTTCTTTGAAGCCATCCTGGCTCGTGATCTAGTTTTTCTAAAGAGGGAGGTTCCTTTTCCTTTCCCTCCTGCACAAAGACTTCTAAAAAAGTCCCCCAGATTTGATCAAACAAGGGTTAAAATAAAGCAAAGTCCAATATTGAAAAGGGAAAAAATTTCCCAGTTATTTCTCTTATAACAAGCGAGGCAGCTTAGTAGCAACTTGGAAACTTTGTAGCAAAACCAAGTAACTTCACCAATCCACACTCGCTGGCTCGTTAACTCTGAAGCTAGGCGCCATGTTTTTTCAAAGCACTTTCACTCATTTGCATTTTCTCAGATTGAAAAGTCAACAAAGTGCTAATACTTGCGTTTCCAAATTTCAGGATTCAGGTAGTTTCGCTGTTTATTAAAGCTAGTTCTTTCGCTTTAAGTTTCCTGCAGCCGGCTTGTTCTGCAGAAGCAGAATCGTCCCACGCCGCCCGGAGTCTCAGCAGGTTGGAAGGGAGCCGCGCCTGTTTCCTCCCCAGAAACGATTCCCTGGGGGGTTACAGGGGCTCAACCTGTGCCCTGCTATCTCTCCTCCAACAATCCTCAGGATTTTGAAGTTTTCGAGCCGCTTCTCGATCGCGAAGCGGCTCTACAGGCGGCGGGGCTGGCGGAGCTTCAAAGGGCGCCGCCGTCGCCGAAGACAAGGAAACCGGAAGTCTACATTTTCCATTCTTAGTTTAGATGTAAAGTGGCAATCCAGAACATGGTCTCTCGTTATTTTTCTTACAAAATGGACTAAGACATCCCTTAATAGTTTTCTCATGGCAGCAAATCTTGAGTTTACTCTATAAACCTTGTCAATTTCAAGTTCGAGAAACTTTTCCTCACAATTAATCAACTGCCAAGGTTTTAATCATTCTTAGCCAAATATCCTCTCCAGAGTGTTCAGGGATTGCTCTAAATCTTAATTGCAGCTCCTTTGCTTGAGCTTCCAAGAGAGCTCTCTCATCAAATTCAGCTTCAAAAAGAGTGTCTTACTTCTCCAATTTATGTTCCATAAGATCCACTCTGTCCTTCATCTGTTTAATATCTCCTTTCAAACCTTGTATCTCCTCACGAACTTCCTTTGCCAATGTGTCAATTTTTAATTCAAGCTTAATTCCCAATGCCTGGATGACTTTATGAGTTTTGGCTGTATATTCGTCCAAAAAAGATTTTAAAAATTCTACATCTCCTGGTATCTTCTCTGTTCTCTTACGGGTCACCATAATTAATAGCATTAAATTGTGCCACTTAAAAGTTAAAAAGGAAATCACAGTTCTAATTCTACCTATTTGGCTCCCTTGTGTGGACAAACAGCACCACTGCAGTAAAAGAAATCTATATCTCTTTGCCTGCTGTAAAACCAATCAAAAGTGATAGAAACCAAAACTGTTTTTTCTCCCTCCTTCCAGCCAAAACAAAACGCCGATTGGGCATGCTTTTTTTCAAAGGTGAAAACTTTCAGCAGAGTCTGTTAAAGGCAAATTATCTTCCAAAAATTTTAAGTCAGGGGTGAAATCCTCCACGGATTGCCACTGGTTCGCTGCCTGAGCATGCGCTGTGCACACTAAGAGCACGCTGTGCACACATGCACATTGCACACCAAAAGCACATGTGCATGCACAGTGCGCACCAAACGCACGCTACACAGAAAAAGAAAATATCCATTTTTAAGAATCCATGTTAGTTTCAGTAATTATTAAACATTGCTGAAGCACTAGTATAGCAGCTTTATTTCTATGCCCCCACTTTGGAGGGCAGAACATGTTGGTGCAATTCTGGCATATCCAGTCATAATCTTGAATAAATTTATAGACCAAAAATAATTTCCAGTGGTAGAGTTGAGTTGGCATTTGAATCATTGATAACTTCAAAACTATTATTTTCACATGCCAGGATCATTATTGTTTCTGAGATAAAGGTGTAAACTAATGTTAAAAAGCATGAAATTGTTTGAAATTTTATTCCTGCTTTCTCCCTTTTTATATTAGGCCAAGAAGGTTCTGGATGTGTTTTATGCTTTAAAGATACACTTCACACTTCTTAAAGGACTTCTTGAATCACAGCAATCGGTATCAAGATGTCAAGTTGTTAATGTTGCTGTAGAAATCTTTCTCAAATGTGGGAATCTTGATGGAGCATTATGGGTATTGAGAGGTAAATTTAAATTTAAAAAATTGGATTTATTGATCAAATTTATATAAATATTCGTAGTTTGCTTCTGGATCCAATTCAGGGTGCTGATTTTGATTTTTAAGGCCCCTCATGGCATGGGGCCAAGTTGTTTGAAGGACTGCTTCTCCATGATTCCATCTGTTCATCAGATCCAGTAAGAAAGACATAATGTGGTTCCTGTCTTTCAGGGAACTACACTTAACGAGTCTGAGAAAGTGGACCTTCTCTACCATGGCACCACCTTATGGAATATTCTCTCCCTCCATCCTCCTTATTTTCCAGAAGTCCTTCAAAATCTGGCTTTGTCATCAGGCCTAAGGTTCTTAGGGGACCAATGAGTTCTTGAGGTGGCTTTGTTGCTGATTGAATGTCATGTGTGCTATATATATTGACGAGTTTGTTTTTATATTTTTGTTGTTATACACCGCCCAAAGTCACTTCTTGTGAGATAGGCTGCCATATAAATGTAATAAATACATAAACCTGCATTTTTATTGTGATTTTCTATATTTATATATGTGTAAAAATATTATTTAGGTTTATATAATATTTATGGTTTTATTTTAAGATAAGCCGCCCAGAGTCATCTTCCAATCAAACAAACTTAATAAATAATTAAAAATAAATAAATAAAAATCATATTTGGAAGGACATGTTTAGTTCCTGGTTTTGGAATATATTTAGAATAATGTCATAACAAAAGCGTATGCTACATTCAAAGCATTTTATTTCTTCTATTTAGCCAAAAAAAGAAGCTACAAAGAAGCTACAATAATTACTAAAAATATTCTTATTAGAAAACTTAAAATCTAAAAGACAAATTTCAGAAGGAGTATTAGAGATAAAAGGCTTATTTTTCAATTGTTTTTCATTACTTAGTAAGTCTCAAAATAAAGAAGAAATACAGTGCATGCAAACATTTAGACACCATCCTCTCTCATGACATTGTATATTTCCATGAACAAAAGCTGAGAAAACCTTTACATGTGTAAAATTGAATATCACATCTTTCCTGAACTTTTGCACACAACTTCAGACATCTAAAATTTGGCACCTACCTTTGTTTTACTTAATGGAGAACTGTTATTTTAGTTCTATTTTAATTAAATAGTTTTTCCTAGTTTCTAATACATTCTGTGCAATGAAGGACTTGCTCCTCAAAAATATTACGTAACAATTTATACTCAGGCATGCCCTTTATTTTGTATCCTTGCCCTATGATGTGTTGCTTTTAGTAATGCTTATGGAAATTTTTCAGCAACTGTTCCAAAGATCAAATATAAGGACTTGCTGTTTTTGTAAGGATAATACTACACTCCCTCAGACTATGTAATGTAGCTCAAAGAATATTAGGAATCTAAATTTCTGCTAAAGGCCACTTAGAAAACTTAGTATTACTTGAGATTTGTCCTATAATTTTGTTTTTTACTGCATGTTCTAACAATTTTAAAACATTAGCATTAATCTTCCCATAGGGTCAGAATGGATAATAAATACAGCAGCATGGCCTTGTGAAAAAATGGATGTCCTAAATCGACATAATCTGCTATATGCTGTAGCATCTGAATTAATGATAAAACAACGGTATGATGAAACATTTGAAGTCTTAAGAAATCTCCCAGGTTTTCAGAATACTTGTGGTAAGTTGTTAGTTACCTGTTACTTACTACTTAAAATAACAGACTTTTAGTTTGAATCTGCATCATTGGAATTTTCATTACCCAGAGATGCTGTGATTTGGGAATGTATAAATAAAATCTTAGCAAATATTTTTGTTTTCAGTCACCTAATAAATCAGGTTTCCTAATATAGATAGCTCTACTTATTCAGATATTCTGTGCCTTCTTTGCCATAGGACCTGTCCTTTGAAAAGGCCTGAGATCCAGATGATCATCCTTTGTCAATATTTACTTATCAAAATTGATAAACAATGGCCAAGGTACACAAAAAAACAGTAGGAGCAGGAGTGATTTCCAATTTCTTGCTGGCTTACGGTTTGACTTTGTGAGTAGCTGCCAGAGAGCACCAGAATTCATGATGACCTGGCAGTGGTTCTGCAGTGACCACAACTTTTCCAATACAATTGGTCTGAATATCCTTGAAATTTCAATTGCATTTGAGTAATTCGTCCCAACTTTTGAATGCATTCTTTAAATTAGGCTATTTGAGGTATCTTGATTCAAAAATTGTTCCCTGTGATACACTATTTTGGCTAATTGAAGGGTACAAACTGACCCGGGAGATTTAGTACTGGTGTGTGTGTGTGTGTATGTATGTATGTATGTATGTATATATATATATATATATATAAGATTTATTATAGCCCTTTTATTTGACTTCTTAATATATGTAACAATCTTCTGTATGATATTGAAGGAGAAAAAATAAGTTTCTCAATTGTTCTTGGCATTGATATAAAAACTAAAAATAAGAAAAATATTTTATATAGTTTAGATCATTTCACTGATGGAAAAAGTATGCTACATAGCTGAAAAATATTCCTAAATTTTCTCTTACAGACTCTCTGGATGTATCTCAGAATGGCCTTTTGTTTAATAAACTGCTAAGTGCTTGTTCAGAAAGCAGGAACATTGAAGTATCATCTATTGTAGTGGCTTTCATGCTTTCAAGAAATATCCATATTGAATTTAATTTACTTCGAGCATTAATCACAGCCCTAGGAAGAAGCTGTTTGTGGCTTAAGGCCAGGAAACATTATAAAAGTAAGCTTTCTTAAAGACGCGTCACTTTTTATGTTAGACCAACTTCTTATGGGAATGTTTGCTCTAAAAATTATTATAATTACATTAATATTGAACTGTCCAGAGTAATTTGGGGGACATGTACTTGCATATCATTTTCAATTTATGAAACAGCTGAGTACACAAAATCCATTGTAGACTGAGAAGCAAACAGTAAAATGATTTGAGATTATTAAAAGCATTGTGTAAGACATGTCTAAATTAACCATTCTGTGCATGGAACAGATTTTTTTTGGTGCATCATGCCCAAATTAAAACATGCTTTGAATGTTTTGGTCTATTTCTGGGAAGAATGGATCTCATATTCTAAATACATTTGTTCTGGGCTGGAATGGTTTGAACAGGGTAAAGAGCAGGAAAAGCAAGACTGGAACTTTCTTGGAGAGCACATGTATAGACAATGGTGATAGTAGAGCAGGGCATAGGGAAGGTCTGGTAGCAAGCAGGCCAGCATGCTAGTCCTACTAAGATGAGGCCACAAATACTAGTAATCTACCTGTCCTATAAAATTACTTGGGATTCTTCTAGATTTTGTGTTGATAAGCCCCCAGAACAACCTTTATATTCCAGATTGTATTTATATTGAACTCCAGCCAAAATGAAACAGTTCAGCAAAACTTCTAGAACATAATGGTAACTTGGGCTCATAACAAAACATATTTCTACCAATAATTATCAACATTTAGATATTGTCTGTTTGTTATGATTTAAGATGTGATACATATGTTTTCAGGTAGACCCATTTTTTTAATGTCACACATTGGGTTATTTTAGAAGAGATTTATGGCAGAAAAAAATACTGAGCAATATAACTTTGCTTTTTTAGTAGAAAAAAAACCCTAGCCAAGTCCTAGATTGTTTAAGAATCAGTGGAAGAATGTTAAAAATGTTTTACAGCTTCCTAGTTGTATTGGCATATCTAAAACATCTTTGAGCATTCTAAATAAACTCTGAGGATTGCTAATTCTTCTTTTCTTCTCTTTTCCACTTACCAAAATATCCAGAGGAATCAACAATATGAAAATGAAGAAAGTTCAGTTGTCTATGTATTAAAGTAATCTTAAAATTTGTAATAAGCTGCCGAAACAAGAGATACACGTTTAGCTAATACTAACTGTGCTGTTAGAGATAGTGAGTTGTGGTGAGTTAGTTACCTTAAGGATTAAGAGCTGTCTCTTTAAGAGATTGCATTGTGGGAGATGTAATGAGAGATTGCATTATGGGAAATGTAGTCCATGACATGTGACCATATCTGTGTGTCTGATTGGCCACCGAGGCTTTCTGCCGGGGTTTTAGAAAAGGACCTGGCCATATGTTGAATTACCTCAGAAGAGAGAACATGCTTTCTGAACAGGGGGACAAACTACCATCCTTTTACACTAGGAAATGGGACACATTATGAAATACGGATGCACCTCACCTGGACTCACTATGATTGTAAGTCTTATGTGTTCAAGGATTCCCAAATAAATATAATCTGCATGAAAACCTGTTTGCTAGAGTTTATCTGCCTGTTCCCAGTGGAGCCAGATGCCTCGGGAACAGAACAGTAAAAGGATGTAGATTGCCTGACCCCCTCCCTTTCTTTCGGAGCATTAATGGACATTCTGTTTGAGTGAAAATGCATCTCTTCTCTGCGCACAACTTATAAAAGGACTTTGTTTGGATCTAATTGATACCTTTTCGTAGCCACAAAAATGACAAACTTGCTTTCCTTCTCTGCCTGAGTGAAGTTTTCTGCTCAGCGGTAAAAGACAGAAAGAGAAAGACAGTTTTTGTGCTAGCTAAGAAGAATGCACTGCAATAAAGAGGCCCAAGGCTGCATGTTTGAATCACCTTTGGCAATAAAAGGACAGAAAGAGAAAGACAGTTCGTGTGCTAGCTAAGAAGATTGCCCTGTTTCAATCACCTTTGCAAAGTTTGTGCGTATGTTGCTTGAGAAGTTCGCCTCGTCAGTAAAACGAAAAAGCAATCTGAGCCACCTAGGCTCTTTGGAGATTTATTTATTTGTTTATTTTATTTTATTTCGAATTTATATACCGCAGCTTCTCCCGAGGGACTCAGGGCGGTGTACAGCCAGATAAAAACATACAATACAAACATTAAAAACAATTAAAAGGATATATATTAATTTGGCCCCAATTTAAGATAAACCAATTAAAAAATTAAAAATATGTTAAAAAATATGTTAAGTCAGCCCGGCTTGCTGAAAAAAGAAAGTTTTAAGGGCACGGCGGAAGGCACCGAGGTCTTGGATTCTCCTTATCTCTGGGGGCAGCTGATTCCCGAGGGTAGGTGCCCCCACAGAAAAGGCCCTCCCCCTGGGGGTCTCCAGCCTACATTGTTTGGCTGATGGCACCCCGAGGAAGCCCTCTCTGTGGGAGCGCACAGATCGGTGGGAGGTCATCGGTAACAGCAGGCAGTCTCGAAGATAACTAGGTCCTATGCCATGGAGCGCTTTAAAGGTGGTAATCAACACCTTGAAGCGCACCCGGAAGACCACTGGGAGCCAGTGCATCTCACACAGGAGCGGTGTTATGTGGGAGCGCCAGGCGGCTCCCGTAATTACCCGTGCGGTCACATTCTGGACCAATTGGAGCCTCCGGGTGCTCCTCAAGAGGAGCCCCATGTAGAGAGCGTTGCAGTAGTCCAGGTGCAAGGTGACGAGGGCGTGAGTGACTGTACACAGGGAATCCCGATCAAGAAAGGGCCGCAACTGGCGAATCAGGCGAACCTGACAGAAGGTCCCCCTGGCTACAGCCGTCAGATGTTCCTCCAAGGATAGCTGCGTATCCAGGAGGACTCACAGATTGCGCACCCTCTCCGCCCTCTCTGCGGGGGCCAAAGACTCGCCAAAGATTGAATTTGCATGATACAAGTTGCTTCCCAGCCTGGCCACTCAATGTGCATTTGAAAAGAAACAATCCAGCCACGGTGCATGCTGTTGCTTTGAATCTTGCTTGAATAAAATACTGGAAAGCTAAATCCCCTTTACAGGGCAAGCAACTAAAGCCCAAAGGAACCCAAGTCGAGGAAAGCCTCTTAGGGTCTCCAAATAGGACAGTTGCTTTGTAGTTCTATACAAAGGAACACACTGAAACCAGTTTAACCCAAGCATTAGTTAGGTAACAGCACCCTAGTGGCCAAAGGTGTACTGCACCAACCAGCCCCAGTGGTCAGAAGGCAAACTGCAACAACGTCTTCTAGAGTTTGCAACGCACTCTAGTGGTCACAAGGCAAACTACAAACACGTCTCCTACAGTTTGCAACGCACCCCAGTGGTCAAAAGGCAAACTGCAACCACATCTCCTAGAGTTTGCAATGCACCCCAGTGGTCAGTAGGCTAACTGCAACCATGTCTCCTAGAGTTTGCAAATGCACCCCAGTGGTCAGAAGGCAAACTGCAACTACATCTCCTAGAGTTTGCAACGCATCCCAGTGGTCAGTAGGCTAACTGCAACCATGTCTCCTAGAGTTTGCAATGCACCCCAGTGGTCAACAGGCGAACTGCAATTACGTCTCCTAGAGTTTGCAACACACCCCAGTGGTCAGTAGGCTAACTGCAACCACGTCTCCTAGAGTTTGCAACGCACCCCAGTGGTCAACAGGTGAACTGCAATTACGTCTCCTAGAGTTTGCAACGCATCCCAGTGGTCAGTAGGCTAACTGCAACCACGTCTCCTAGAGTTTGCAATGCACCCCAGTGGTCAACAGACGAACTGCAATTACGTCTCCTAGAGTTTGCAACACACCCCAGTGGTCAGTAGGCTAACTGCAACCACGTCTCCTAGAGTTTGCAACGCACCCCAGTGGTCAACAGGTGAACTGCAATTACGTCTCCTAGAGTTTGCAACGCACCCCAGTGGTCAGAAGGCAAACTGCAATTACATCTCCTAGAGTTTGCAACGCATCCCAGTGGTCAGTAGGCTAACTGCAACCATGTCTCCTACAGTTTGCAAAGCACCCCAGTGGTCAAAAGGCTAACTGCAACCACGTCTCCTAGAGTTTGCAACGCACCCCAGTGGTCAACAGGTGAACTGCAATTACGTCTCCTAGAGTTTGCAACGCACCCCAGTGGTCAGAAGGCAAAGTGCAATTACGTCTCCCAGAGTTTGCAACGCACCCAGTGGTCAGTAGGCTAACTGCAACCACGTCTCCTAGAGTTTGCAACACACCCCAGTGGTCAAAAGGCGAACTGCAGCGACGTCTCCTAAAATTTGCAGAAAATTCCCTGAGCTTTCCCAGTCATGGCTGAGACCTCCAATGTCTCAGCAGAGTTGAACCTCCCAGCTAATCTTGACATGCCTGAAGCATCGGATGCCGTGGAGTCTTGTCCAATCATGGCAGAAGCATATGATTCATCAGGAATGATGACCCTTCCCTCATCCAACCTCGACACAATCCCAGAAGTGGATGTCCAAAATTCCAAAGAGGCTGAAGCTCATCAGAGAACCTATGACCTCAGACAGCACAGGAAGCTCACTGGTGTTATGCAGTCCAGCCTGAAGAAAGATTGGGACAAGCATTATCGTCACAACAAAAGGTATTGGGAGAAGTTGCAACAGATCTGCAACAGGCCTGTGAATGAGCTTTCACACAGCCGCATCTGCACGTTGGTGAACGAAATGGATGAACTTTATAAACAATGGAAGAATTCTGAAAGCCATCTTGTCAATATCCAACAGCATCTAGAAGACCCAGAACTCGTGGGTGACATGCAACTCTTAGAAATGTTGAGTGCAAAACGTGGGGAAATATTTCAAGGTTGTAAGGACTCCTTTCACATGCTCCAGGCGAAAAGCACATCAAGGGAGAAAGCCTCCTCACCCCAACGCTCACATGCATTTGCCACTCATTCTTCCAAGAAAGCTGCGAGCGAGAAGGCCGAATCCAAAGCAACCCATTGCTCACACGGGACATCTCATCAGTCACAAGTGGTTCCCCCTTACAAGTCATCCAGG